GTATTCATACAACTGTCATCATGGCATACTGGAGTAAAAGAATTTGTTGAAAGTTTGCTTTCATCAGCCTCGCATATACATTTGACCATTCACATAAAATCTGCGCTATCCACATTTAGTAATTATAATTATTAGTTTTAACGTCATTCACATAAATAGGCTGAAGAGCTTGATAACAAATGTTTGGCCTTAATTGTGACGGCAGTGCAACCGAACTCGTATTATGGGTGCAGATGTGTACTCTACCTTTGACTGAACTTTTATACATACTTTACATTTTTACCGACAGAAGAAATGCCATTTGAATAAAGAGGGCTGTGCCTAAGTCAAAAATTGGACTCACTGAGTCATTAACAGTATTAAGCTCAGGATAGAAGGCACTACATGGATGATTTTTCAGCCAGTTTCAGCTCTACTGGTTGGCTGAAAACTACAAACTACTCTTGAGCAAGATACAACTATCTCAGGATAAATGATTTCTTGTAACTGTCTCCTTAATCATGTTAATGATAGGTATCCTGAAAACAGTATGAAAATTAAAACTCCCTTGCACATTTACATTCCATCTCATTCATGCACGCATAGCATTTTAAGCTTCATCGACCCCTTTAAAAAAAATGTATTATAAGGCTTAAAGATTTCGTAAAGAAAAAAGCCATTTCCCGAATTAAGGAAATGGTTAAAAGATTGGAGCCTAATGCTTGCGAAGAGACCCGATCTGAGAACTGGAAAAGCGATTCGTTAAATCTTGATCGAATTATGCGTAACGATTACAAAGCATTCTATAGTCGAATTAAGTTTCTTAAGGCAACGGTATTATTGCCTGCTTATAGTATGCAACGATCAAACGGATTTCTTTGTTTCTTAGCTTCACCAAGCATTTGCTCTTTAAATCCTGCAGAACTTTCATTAACTGATGAAAGCATGCACTTCCTTTTCTCTATTACAAGGTCTGACTTTGTCAACAAGTAATTACAACTAAGAGATAACGACGTAAACATCCCTTGAAGTAACGCAAACCGTTAAAGATCATTCTAAACGCAATTCCATCACAGTTGTTCCGGCAGGATTACCTAAAGTTATCGACATAATCCCACAGGCTTTACAACGACACTACGACACTACAGTAATTAATAATGAACTTTCCCTTGATTAAAACTTTTAACCGCTGCAATATAAACGTACGTCCTTTATAAAGTCCTTTCAAAAGTCTTTTGTCTGTCAGTAGCCAGAGTTATACTATGTGGTTTATAGGTGTAATCTTACGTTTAGAAATCAGTTCTTTAGACAAAAGCGAGACCATCGCAAAGTGGCTGGTTGTTTGTTGTGATTAATTCATGATAATTCCGTCCAGTTTTCAAGCTCGGCCCAACTTTCCTTAACTTCGGGAGCAATAAACATTAGAACTGACACCCAGAATCGTGTTACAAATTGATATTCAATTTGCTTAGTTAAGAACACTTTGAGAAATTTCAATACTGGCACGAGATTAATAACTATGGCAAACACTTTATGTTTGTTGACGTTGATTTGTGTTTTGATTTCTTTTTTTTTACGCGAGACAGCGTTTGGAGTCTACTGCATATAAATTAACTTAAGTCTGCATCAGAGTGTCACGTTACCTTCTCTACTTCATGTTTTCAAAGCAGACTATAAAATCTAACGTATTCATTATGCAAACATATCACAAAAGGGCCAAAAAGCTCTTTTATTTTCTCACCTGCATCTTTATTCCACTGACAGAATGAGACACCGCTTTGAAGAAAATAAAAACAGATCCCTAAGACTTTGATCTCGATAGCCATGCTTGAGATTCTTATTTGATGTGTAAATGTTAAAGCCGGCTTTTGTAGTCGATAAAAACGCAATAAAAAGCTTATGATATTTGTGAGCCAAAGTCAACAACTTAATTGAAAGCGTGAGCCTTCATCGCCTAATGCACGTCCCGCCTCCAATCTTGACCGTTTTCTAGATGTCTCTTGCTCGGACCTCACGGCTTGAATTTTATTCTTTGAACGAAAGAGGCAGAGAAAGAGCAAAAAATCGATTTAAATATTCGCGTTGCTATTCGTCTGGCTATCGAAAACTTCGAAAAATGTGCAACCGAATTTATAACCTGAGGCAGTAACTGATGAATAAAGTCTGGTTCTGAGAGCTCGCAGACGATATGCCATTTATCTTCACATTGCGTGCATCAAGGTGAAAAAGTGCAAATACATAAATAAACTGACAAATATCTTGATATTGTGCGACATGATAATGATAAACTTTGCTGTGCGCGGGCCGACTAACGATGTGCTGTGATTACGGCTTGACACTATTTTGCTATATTGTTAAACAAAGATCCCCGTCATCTCTAGATTGGCTACCAACGGCATTCTTGAAAGTGGGTAATATAGCACTTATTCTTTTAATGTCCTCTTCCATGAAAATGAAAGTAACGGTTTCCTCTACAACGTTTTCAGTTGTGCGGGTGGCCAAAAATTAATGATGACCGTATGCTATTTAACATCATCAAAACGAGACACTCTGAAACGAACTAATATAAACAAAGTCCTCAGCCAATATTTGCGTCTATTATTTAGGGTTATTGAACAAAGACGGTCTCGAGATGTAAAGGCAACGGCTAAACAGTGGCATTACCATAATTCCGAAAACTGTGTGAACAGCACGTCGGCCTCTTAAGCCTTCTCTACATTCGCATGCCTGCCCTCAAGCCGGCATGGCATGCACACGTAACGATAGTGTAAGCTGATCAATACTCCGCAAGAGTATTCAATTGTAAGAAAAACATTGTTTGGTGACTAATTTGTATAGTATCGCGATGAATGTAAAATCAACATCTTCTTAACGCGATACCTAGACAAAATGAACTTAGAGTGGAAATGCGCGGACGTGCAGGGTATCACGAACATCCAGATCGGAGATGAGGTCTTCAACTTTTCGATATTATTCCTATAGCAAAATTGAAGGAAATAAGGAACAGAAACATGTCTACCTTATGTAATCTAGTTAAGAAGTGTATTTAGAATTGATTTCGAAGCTATTTTCAACAGTGCATAGTAATACAGAGTTCTAGAACGTGACCTCTTGGGAGCAGATCCAAAGCTGGCTCGAGAAAATTGTCGTTCCGCTCAATCGTCACGATCTTGAGAACTCAAGAACGTAAGATAACTTTTGAGATTACTGTTGCGGAACTCCTGTAACGACATCGGTTTTGCCTCAGTGATGCTTGTAAATTGGAAAGCTACATTAGCATAACAAGAGGAACATTGTGATTTCAAAGGTGCTTAGAAGTGTTTGATTAAGTAGTGCCGCAGGGTGATCTCGAACGCGATTGCGAAAGCCAGATTCCCCGGTCAAAACCATTGTTACGGGTGCAGAGGTGCAATGAAGTTCATATCACAATTATCACCAGCGCTGTTAGGCTGTCTCAAAAACCAAGCTTGTCAGAAGGGATTTAAAAACTGTTAATTAGCTTGGATTTCGACACTCCATCAATCAAACGTCCCACAGGACTCTTTTTAAGAAAGCAACCTTAGGAATCATTGGTCGAGGATTAATCTCGCAAGACTGACTCAAGGGACACGGTAGACAAGAACTATTATAACACATCATACACGTGCAAATTAGTGATATGTACACACAGAAACTGTAAATTGCATATTTAACAAAGACCCCTAACGGCGCCAGTAATCAGTCACTCAAGGTACCGGAATCCTGTCGACTCCAGTTGCAAAGTCAGCTTAAAGATCAGACGCGGGACGCACGGAAAGAGGAAGAAGAAATGATCAGACACGAAGACACCAGGCTAACTAAACTGTTCGTCGGGGGCATCCCATACGACACCGACGACGAATCTCTACGAGAGTTTTTCGTACGGTTTGGGGAGATCAAAGAGGCTGTAGTGATTCGGGACCGGGACACACTGCAGTCAAAAGGATATGGATTTGTAAGTGTTGCTGCTTTTGCGGTTTAGCCTTGATAAAGTACCGTTATTATCTCCCACCTCGTCAGAATTCCTGCTAAACGATTCTCTGTTTCTAGGTTACGTTTCACGATAAAGATTGCGCTAAACAGGCGTGTGTAAACAAGAGGCCGGTTATCGATGGAAGAACGGCAAACGTAAACTTGGCCTACCTCGGCGCCAAACCAAAAAGCAGCAAAGGTCAGTACAACGATACCGCGATACCGGCGTTTTGATGTACGAGATCGTTCGATTTTAACCGACAGGACCCAAAGGATTTTTCTTCCAACCATTATTGCCTTATTTCTCGCTTGAATAGCGCTGAATCAAATGTAAACCCTATCAATAACACACGGTGCGCAGAACGAGTAAATATTTCTGTTTGGGAACAAATGTGAGCGACGTTATGTATTTTTTTTGTTGTTGTTCATAGGAAATGGAAAGAATGCGACGTCGAGCTATGGATTTGCCTACAAGCAGAATACCATAATGGGGTAAGGTTGCCGATGATTTGAATACCATTCGCTAGCTGTCAACAACTTTCACGCGCATATAAGCATATGACTTTTATTTTTAATATGAGTGACCTCAAAGTTAAGGAAGACAATTTTTATCATACCCGACAATCATTTAATGAACTAACCTTTTTTATCCGAAATTTGCTACAATGAAACTCCTCCTGAATCTGCAAAAAATCTGCCACAGTATTTATGAACAGTAAAACAAATCAACGTCAACTATATATACTGATTTTCATGGCCATAAAACGTTTACTTCGAAAAGAATGGAATTAACATTACGTACGCCGGCTTATCAACTATACAAATGACTTGCTTTCAACTGACAATAATAGTTTTAAGAGAAACAAAGATATCTCAATTGCAAAGTGATGGGCATGCGAGTCAAAGGCTCCGACACAATTTTGTTTATTGTGATATTCGACAATTAAGGAAGACATCGTGAATTATTTACTGTGGAGTCTGTGAAAAGAGTTACTTTACACTATGCGAGAACTTATTGGCTCTGACAAATAACTTCTGTTAGTTTTAAAACTATTCTGAGAACTGTACTTTACCAACTGGGTCAAGGGTAGAAAGATTGTTTGCATAACACAGACAACGAATAACAAAGACGTCTGGTTTGAACCAATTTTTTTTATCATATGGGTCAGGCCAAGAACTAATAACCACAAACTTCACAAAAGCTTGATTACAATGCGCGAAGTATTTTACTAGTAGGGTACTTATAAACACACATGTGTACCACTAATTTAAAGAGAAAAAACCAAGCGCCCATGACGAAAAATTCTCGAAACGTTGTTTTGGGGAGTGACTCGGCATAAAATCTTTGTTTTTAGTGCCTTGAGCTTTTATAACCTTTAAATCTTGCCAAACAAAAGGTTCAAACTTCAATAGAGTGAACTGGTCTCAATTGTATGTCTTTTATTCAACATGTTTACTTTCCTAAGTGAAGAAATTGACCTAAAGTAATTCCTTTAAATATCATGTAAAGTTTTTCTCAATTTGTTCAACTGGACGGGGGACAAGAATATGGCATTCACTGTACATATTGTTATGTTAAACTCGTGCAATTTGCGTTCTGTTGTTAGGGGTGGGTTTCAAACCGCGCAAATTAACGTTTGGTTTACACAAGCAGCTGTTTATTTTATGTGACAAACAAATGATTGTTCTGATCTGCAGATCACATCAATACCCTGGCAATTTCTCAACTGGGTTCTCCACGCAAATCCCAGCTCAGCAGATTCAAACAGTTCCTCTTGTCTCGCCAGTACCTCAGTCACCAAACGGACAAATGCCGTCGATGCAGCCAACAGTTCAACCCATACAACTGATCGAGTACAATGGAGTACCAACGATTGTTTTCGGTACTGTATACGATCAACTTTATTATTCTACACCGCCATATGTTCCCTCACCGACGCTGCCAGCCACCACAATCGCTCCTTCGTTCACTTACCAAACCGTGGCGCCCCAAACACCTCCGTTAAATGGCTGCTCGTTAAGCGGACAACACTTCTTTCCAACACACGTGGAAATCATCGGCCAGCCGCAGCTCTGAATTGGAAGAATCAGGCCTTTGAAGAGTTGAACAGAAATGCTAAAACTAGCTGCAGTTGAGAAACTTTGACCATATAAAAACTAAGAACCCAGAAGATCTAGATGTTGAAGCGATCACAAGCCTGGTTAAATTCGTCTTGTATTTATCGCTAATTATTTGAACTCTCATCATAGGCGGTTAGCGTAAAAGATGCAAATTGTTATAATTAGGCAAAAGCCGGCATACTGTAGAAGTATATAGGTAGCAGATAAGGAGAAAACAAATCACAAAAAAATATTTTTAATCAATTTCTCTAATTTATTAACGAGATCGAGAACGAGAAAATCAACTTTTTCGTAACCGTGTAGAGGCGGTTTTATCGTTATAGAGTACCAGCAAAACGTGTACAGTTCATGGAAAACAAACGTAATAGTTGTACAGAGAGGCACACCACACAAAACTGTAAATGTAGGCTTTTTAATAGGAAAAAAAGGTCAAGATGTATTCTATTTTCCTAAAGAATCTTTCTGAGGATATGCAAAGCAAGTAGATCGAACCTATATCAAAATGCTTGTTAATGCTTCCAAATTCTGCTCGTAAGTGGATCAACCTGAACAGCTTAATATACCCTTGAACAGTCGAGGGTCCTCTGAGGGCACAATTTAATAAAATTCTTATTGTAATTGCGGTAAAACAAAGAAGTAAATACAACAGTAGGTCACTAAGTAAGTTGTACATCTTGCTTTTCTTGATCTGTTTGTGTACAAGTTCAATTTTCCGTCACGACCTGAATTGGAGTGGTTAAGTAGAGCCCTTCCAACTTACCCGGCGTTGTCTCTCGGAAGTGCTGCAGCTAGCGCCCGTAACAATAATGTAGATGACTGATGGAATTCATTTAGATAAATCACTTGTAACAAGATCAGTGCTTGCTCTTAGATGTTGTCCGAATTATTAAAATGGTATTTGACAAAGACAAGTTTTTAAGTTCCCTTTTCAGCCATCTTCCATATAATCTTTACATTCCAACGATCTTTCTTTGATCGCTTTTAAGATATTTTGCCTGTTCCTTTTACATTCGATCGACAAAGAGTTACATTTACATATCTTTTGATTTGATTTTCCAATGCTCTGTCATCATCCTTGTTCAAGAGAACGTGAAACTATGTATGTTGTCGTGTTTATTCTGCCCGCAATCATCACTTGAAGCCAATGGAGCAGGGAAAAGAGATCAATTAAGTGCCAACAAGGGACTATGGTCTCTTGGTGCTAGAGAATCCCGCTTAAACCTCCGCAGAAATCAATTGTTCTTCTGCAAACCACCTCCTATCTAAAGGCTTTTCATTATGAAAAACCACAAAGCAAAGAAACAAAACAAAAAAGCAGAGTTTGCAGAACAAATCGTTGTTAGCGAAAGTAAGATTTGTGCTAGTAAATTCGTTTGAGTTTCTCTCAAAATGTTCTACCAAACATTTTTTGTTAAAAAACTTCTCCTGCCAGCTCTGGTCCCGGTTTGTGCATAGCAACGCGCGTTCCTAAGGTCCTTGTTTATAGCGTACGTGAGGAGTAAAATATGGCAAAAACGTTAATATATTTGATGCCTGAGGGGTCAATGGCGGTTCACTAGTACTTTAGCAGATTTGTAGTCACGAGTTCTTTCCAACTGACACGAACACCTGGGATTTAACTCGGAAAAGTATTATCCAGCTATATCGTGCTTTTATAGTCATATTGTTTCCCAAACGTATAGTCTTGGTTTGTTTTTTACTCGGTTTTCATCCACCACGAAAATCGTGCAGTCTTACATGTACAACACAGATGTTCACCAAGCGTGTCAAAAGTTCATTGAGAGCTATATCAGAGAAGAATAACTGTCGCGTTTTGGCTCGCGCTCATTGGTTAATTTTCACCGCCAAGAAGAGGGCACAAGTGAGCACAAGTTTAACTTGTTATAATTAAAAGCAATTGAATTGAAGTCAGCTTTTAAAAGTCCCGTCTTGTTGTTTACATTGATTATAGAAACGTCGAGTTGGTCCTGAATAATTCTGACAATGTTAAGATGCGTTTGGGACGGCAGAGTGTGAAAAAAAAAATCATCAAATTCCATTGTTAATTACACACTCGCAAGACGTGGCGATTAAAAAAAAAAAGATGAAATTGATAACCGTAATGACAT